CTAAGGCAAAATATGTGCATCAAAATCTCTGCACAGCTTGCAGGGCAAAGAAATTGATATTTTCAAAGAGAGATTTTTAGAGATTTTTTAAAACAAAACCAGTCTTCTTTCCAACATTTTTAAACAAGCTTCCAGTATAGATAACTTTCATTAGGATATTTTACATTAAGTTTTTATTTCTAATTGTCATGGCTTAACTCCAGATGCAATCTCAGCCCCACACAGCCGCTTCTGCACTCACTGGTGGGGTGGTGAGGAGAATTGGAAGAGTAAAAGTGATAGAATTCATGGGTTGAGACAAAGACAGTTCAATAGGTAAAGCAAAAGCAGCACACATAAGCAAAGCAAAACAAGGAATTCATTCACCCCTTCCCATGGGCAGGTAGGTGTTCAGCCATCCCAATGGAAGCATGGCTCCATCACACGTAGCGCCACACGACTTGGGAAGACAAACACCATCACACTGGATTTATTCTTCACCATTCCTCATTATTTTTCCTCCAGCCTTCCACCCTAGCCATGATGCTATTTAGCATGGTATGGGGTCATCTGGGATCAGCTGATCTGGCTGTGTCTCCTCCTGGCCTCCTTGCTGGTGGGGTGGGGTGAGAGCCAGAAAAGGTCTTGGCTCTGGGCTAGCACTGCCCAGCTACAATGAAAACTTCCCTGAACTATCAACAGTTTTCAGTAGAAATCAAAACCACCTACTGTGAAACAAATTAACTTCACCCCAGTCAAAACCAGCACAGCATTAGATTTATATTTTTCCTAACAATGAGACAAATCATAAGCTAAAGGGGAATTCCTAGAATATAAACAAGTAGCAGCAAAAATCTTGTTTAAAAGATGTTTTGTAAACCTATGACTTCTAAAGTTCAAATCTCCCCTTGGTCTACAGAGTTTTTGTTTGTTTGTTTGTTTTTCTGGTATTACAGGTATAAGTAAAACTTAAACAAAAAATTCATTATTTATTTCCCAGCATGCAAACTGTGACTTACAGAAGTGTAGGAGAGTATTGAAGATCCCACACTCTAAATGACAGGGGGGGGGGTTTAAATTTTGAAGAACACAAAGCAGAAAAAACAATATTATAACATATCAATATTTGTGAAAAATTAATGAAGACAATTGTTAATACAACTTGTGCAATACTGTGTAATACTATTTCAATAATTACTTATCAGAACTAAAGATGCATCAGAAAAGTGAAAAAAAGAATGAACAGGAATGTGCCTGGAGTACTTTGACAAGTGACAAAGAAAACAATAAATAAAAATGAAAAGATGAAAGCTAACCTACTTTAAAGATAGTTATGAAAGCTTGCTTTTCTTTATTTATTTTTTAAGAGTTGTTTAAACTGCTTATTTATAATTGAGCCTTTCAAATACACATGATTTGTTAGAGTAATATGTACTTCAGCTTTGTCTCATTCTCTTTCTGTCTTCAGATTGACTGCTATTTGAAGGCCTTATTTTATATGGCTGGACTAATGCTATTGCACAAATTGCCACCTTTTCAAGGCTGTGATTTCAACCTGCCTGAACAACTGCCACTTTAGCACCACAATAAAAAATACCTTTTTGTATAACAACTCTCTTCCTTTTAGGAAGAATAATGAAACAAAGCAAAATAAAAAGGCACAACCATCCCTTTTCCCAGAAGAGTCAAGCTCTGGGGACATCTCCTCCCCTCTCACCTTGCAGAGTTTCAGAGCTGCTGCACCGACACGGGCACTGCAGCGCACAGCTGCTGCAGCACTGCTCCCCCCAGCACGCCCTGTCCTGCCCCTGCTGTGCACACAGCTGTCCCCAAAGCCAACCTCGCTATTATGGGGGGTTTTCCAACACCCACACCCACTCCCCAGCTGCACTGGAGCTCCTTTTCTGCTCCCCCTGCCCAGTTTCCAGGGTCCCATGGAGCTTCCTCCTCTTTTCTCTCCCTGTCTCCTCACTGGAGGCAGGTGACACTTCCTTCAATAAAACAGTCCCTGTGGGAAAACACAGGGACTTGGATGCTTCAGGTGAGCCCCTGGAGTGCAGGGTTGCGTGTCTACACTGATCCCAGTGTGCATATCCCAGATTTTGTCCATATATTAGGATAAAAGTGGTTGCCCTCAGTGCTCTTATATGTCCAGAACATGTCTGCCTAGCTGCGAGGTTTTGAGTTTATGTTGTAATTACCCAGTCAGAGAAACAATTTTAATTTGGCAAAAGATCCTACACTTCAATTCTTGTTGTTCATGCAAAAGTCACTCTTTAAAAAAAATAATCAAAATTTCAGTCCCCCTAACCTGTATGAGTAGATGTTTAATTATTTTTGACTAATAGCCAGCCATCTTCAGCATGGATGTCCACTCTCACTGTCTTGACTCTGGTCTAATGGAGATGATCAGCTTATTCCTTGCCAGAACAATCATTATTTCAACTACCAACTTTCCTTTTGCTTTCCATTCGACTGCATCCTATAAAATTAGGCTAATTCTTAGTAAAACTAAGCTAAAACAGAGAACTGTTTTGTGCGCATGACAACTCTTATTTAAATAATAAGTTAATAGAAAGTTCTCATCATGCAGACAAGATCCAGAGAAAATTCTTGAATATGAAGCAGAATTTGATCCTCATCCAGATACAGAATTGTCCTTGCTACAGTTGACTTGGGGGAGATCAGAGGAGGGAAACTTGGAGCTGTATTTTTATGCTGCATTTTTTCTGTGAATAAACAGAATTTCAGTCTCCAGGACCTTACATGGTACAGCACACAGTACAAAATTTCTCATTAAAAATATTGTTAGAAGCTGCCTTCAGATGACAGATTTTCATTATTCTCTCTCCTAGTTCAGACTTCACTGATGAAAACTCCAAACATTTCTTACATATCTGCTATCTACATTTGGACTGTAGCATATTGCAATTTGATTCTATGACATTAATGAAGTGGTCAGGTGTCAGTTTCTGCAAGGGTCCTAACATCAGATACAACTAATCACTTAATATAATTAAAAATCTGTCTAAATAGAGACTGAAGTCCAATGAGAAATCCTTTCAAAAAATAAAGGAGGGTGTTTACTTCTTACTTTGCCCAGTAGGCAAGGATGAGCTGCAGTTTGCTGTTACAAAAGTGCTCTGAGGCTTTGCCCTTCTTGCTGCAGAGCAGTGTCTTGAACCATCAGCTCCAGCTGATGATCCTTGTTCTATGTAACCAGGGGTGGGAGAGGGAGAGCTCCTACAAGGAGAGCCCTGCATGCTGAAGATCTCAGATTTTGTTCCAGAGTTCCACCTGGGAACACATGAAAATGTCAGAACCATAAATTGGCTTCTCTCTGCTCTTTACCACAGACATAACATTGCCTTCCCAAGCCCTTATTTTCTTCTGCCTTGCTCTAGCCACAAGCAGCTGCTGCTGAACAGCAGTGCTCACAACTTTTGAACTCAAAGGTAGGTCCATCATTTTAAGTTGCTCTTCTGCCATCAGCAATGGAGTGTACTGGTTGCTCACCCCAAGTCAGGGTTTAAACTACATAAGGCATAAAATATTTTAGGTTTAGACATGGCAAAGATTAAATTCTTTACTCAGAGGTAATGAGATGGTAGTTTGAAAGCAAGTACTCGATTATTAGCAGTCAGTTAATGAGAAAAGTCAATCTTAACTCCTTAGAAATTTGTCTAGAAATCCCCTAGCAATATGGAATTTCATTTTATTAGTGCAAACAATGGAAAAACTTAACTCCTTCATATCCTTCAAAACTTATGTCTTGTATTTTAAAGTTTCTGAGAATTATTTAGTTGGTGAACATTTGACTGGAAGACATGATGCGATTTCAAGAGAAATATTTTTTTAAACTAGACAGGAGTCAATACTTTTTAATAGCAACAACCCAGCAGCCAAAAGAGTTTAGCACCTGCATCCTCCTGGGGAGAAATTTAAGTATTTGGGTTCTCACAATTAACAGGTGCTCATGAAGGTATTTAGCTATGAAACATTAGTACCCAGCAGATTTTCATTGCCCTCTTGAGTACCGATATTGCAGTGATACCATTTCAATGGGGGAAAAAACCAACCAAAACAAAACAAACCTGAAAATTATACCTAGCCTAAAAATTTCAGATGCAGTGCCAGATATATTGCAAAATTCAGCCGTGGTCACGAGTAGGGCACAGTGGATGTTGAAGTGCTACTGTGGCAGAGTGTTAGTGCAGCTGGGACTGCTCTGGAACATCTGTAAAGCAAAATTCAGAAAAGAAGATTATACCGATATGTCATCCAATGCAGCTTAAAAATAAATAACTACATAAATAAATAACCTTTTGGACTCCAAGCCCTTGCTTAGATCCTGAACAAAAGTAACTCTAGCTTTTCTTGTGTATTTCTGTCCCAATACTCCTGCAGCAGTCATTTCATAACAGACCACGCTGTCCTTTTTTTCTTTTTGTATCAAAGAAGTATAAAGGAGCAAACCGCAACTATATTTAACTTCAGAACTGTCCATCAGCCATGCAAAAGCACAAGTAGGTATTTCAACTCGTAAACCACGGACCACTTTGCTGCTAGGGCAGGCTGGCGGGGGAGCGCTGAGGCGCAGCGCTGCGCGATGCTGCGGTGCGGGCAGCATCAGGCGGGCACACGAATAAACGCTGCTCAGCCGCTCCTGCCCGCGCCCGGGGCGGGTCCGCAGGTGTGTCCGGCAGCGGGGCCGCGTCCCGCTCACCGCGGAGAGAGCGCCCAAAGCCGTACGGGGCTGCAGCGCGCAGCTTGCGTCCCGAACCGACGCCCCCAACACCGCCAAAAGTTTCGGGGGCCGGCCCCCAGCGTGCCCGCCTTGCCCCGCTTTCCTTCCCGGAGCGCGGCCCTGCGGCAGAGCGGGCTGGGGCTGCCCCCGCCCCGCACACCCCGGCGTTGGCAGGGCCGGGCTGGGCCGCTGCTCTGCCGCCCCCCGGCGGGCTCCGCGTCCCCGCCCTGCGCCCGCCCGCACCCGCGGCGCGGAGAGCGGCAGGGAGCGCGGCAGGGAGCGCCCGTCCTGCCCGCCGGCCCCGGGGCGCCCGGCCGCCATGTGAGAGCGGCGGGCCCGCGGCGGAGCCCGTCCCCGGGGCGGCGGGGCCGCACCGCCTGCGGCCGCCGCGCTGTGGGCTCGGCAGCTCTGCGGAGCCCAGCGGGCAGCAACAAGCCCAAGCCGCCCCGGCCGCCCGCCCGCAGCCCCGCCATGGGAGCCGGGCGCGGGCAGAGCCGAGCCGGGCCGAGCCGCCGCCGGGGCTGAGCGCGGCGCCAGCGCAGGTACGGCGGAGGGAGGGAGGCACGGAGGCGCCGGGCCATGGGGGAGCCGGCCGGGCTGGGGAAGGGGCTGGCTCGGCTCCCTCACAGCTGCACCGGGAGGGGTCGGGCGGCGCTGCCCGGCCCTCCGGAAAGTTTGGGCGGGCGGCGCGGAGCCCCGGCTCCCCTGCAGCGGCCGGGCCGGGCGGAGCGCTGTGCCCCGCGATGCCATCGCCGAGAGCCGGCCAGGCGGGCGGCTAGAGAGAGAGACAGAGGCTTCTAAATGGCTTTGGGGAGCGGTACCGCGGAGGTGGGGTCGTGCCGGGAGGCTGCAGCGGCATTGCTTCTCGTGGCCGGAGTAGTGTACGTATTTTGGTTTGGGGTTTTTGGGGTTTTTTCCCTGATTTGGTGTGCAGTGTTTCAGGGAGAGGAGCCGGGAGCGCTGCCTAACTCCTGGAGGATGTGGGTTAAATGAGCCTCGGCTGCTGAAACTCGGAGCCGCTCTGCCTTGCCTTTGGAACACGGGCGAGGAAGAGGTGGTGTTGTGTGCTGGTTCGGGTAGTTCGGAAGGGAGCTAGTTTGTCTTTGCTCGCTTTGGTCTGCTTGGTTTTAGTTGTCTGTTACAGAAACGTGCTCGCTGGTAGGTATTTAAACAGAACCCAAACCAGCGTACTTCGGACTGAATAAGATGTTAATAAAAATCATCGTGTGTGCAGACAGTGAATAGCACTGAGCTGGGTAATTTCTGTTCCGGACCCTGCTGGATTTTGGGGAGCTCCATTTACTTCGTCGGGCGACCGTCCTCTTCACATGTTGTCATTTGAAAGTTAAAAATAACCCCCCAAGCGCTCTGAGTTTTGCCTGCCCCTGCCTTTGCCAGCGCGGATTCCCGGAGTTGTGCGCGGTGCTCTCGGAGCCGAAGACGCCCGGTCCGTGTCCAGAGCCCTGCTATTTATACGAGTTGGCAGAGCGGGGGAGGAGGAGGAGGGATGCAGCATCAGGCTGTTTGCCTTTTGCATAAACTACCGAGGCAGGTTGCATATTGTTTGAGATGTTGCATCGGTGGAGGCGAGGCGGGGTGCGGGGGGGAAGAAGTGCAGAAGCTGAAGTATTCCTAATCCTTCTTTTCCTAGGGACTGTGGCTTTACGAAGCGCTTCCCTCCGATGTGAATGCAGTGTCCCCTGTGGGATGCAGTAGGTGATGCCCAGCTCTACTGCAATGGCAATTGGAGCTTTCTCTAGTTCTCTTCTCGTAACCTGCTGCCTCATGGTTGCCCTCTGTAGCTCCACCGTTCCCGTACAAAAACTGGCCAAGGCTCAAGACAAACAGGAGATAAAGGCGAGCCAGGAAAAGAGAGATCACACGTCTACAAGGGACAGCCAGACGGGTCCAGGGAAAATGAATGAGATCGGCAGGAGCGGGAGGGAGGAGGGTGGCAGGGACTGGAAGAGCAAAGGAAACAGGAACTACTCGAACAAGGAGTCTTGGACTAAGCAAAAGCAGGCTTGGAGCAGCCAGGGGACAAGCAGTAAATCCGGGAGCATTCAAGTGCAAGAGCAGAGGGATGCTGCTCCCGAGGAACCTCAGGTGGCTGAAGATTCCTCTCTGCCAGCCTCTGTTGCGAGCGCCACTGCCGAGCCCCCGGAGGAGTACGCGTACCCGGACTACCGCGGCAAGGGCTGCGTGGACGAGAGCGGCTTCGTCTACGCCATCGGCGAGAAGTTCGCGCCGGGCCCCTCGGCCTGCCCGTGCCTCTGCACCGAGGAGGGCCCGCTATGTATCCAGCCCGAGTGCCCCAGGCTCCACCCTCGCTGCATCCATGTGGACACCACGCAGTGCTGTCCGCAGTGCAAGGAGAGGAAGAACTACTGCGAGTTCCGAGGGAAAACCTACCAGACCCTGGAGGAGTTCATGGTAAGGAATGAAGCCAAAAGTCTTTTTGTGGGTTTTTCTCTTTCTTTTTCTCTTTAAAGTGGTATTATGGTCTTAAACTGTTTTCTCAGGGGGTGTTCTGTGTTTCCCCCTCCTCTTCACCTTTTTGTGTTAATATTACGTCTGCAGTCCTGTAAAATATTCCCCTTAAACATGACCTTTCTTGCTCTATGGTACTCTCACATTTTTAAGTGAAGGTGCTGATCTTTATTAATTCCTTTGGTATTTACAATAAAAAATGCTACTTGGAAGGGTGCTGCTCAGTGGTGTTATGGATTTTGTGAAAATTTTCAGCAGTACATCTGTTTCCTTATTTAACTATTAACTGTTAAACTTCTGCCTTGCAGGGATCAAGCAGGATTTTGTGGGCTGACCTCTATTTCTAGTAATCAGTTTGTGATGATCCCTTCTTTTTTAACAGTCATTTCTTTTTCCTTATTAACTGTTTAGGTAGTGCTGCCAATATTGCCTAATGTTTGCTTTCTGTGAATTACTAGAGGTCTTTTTAATAACAGCATAGTTTGCAGTCTTGATTGCAGTGATACCTAAAGAAAGGACTTGAAAAGCTTCATGTTCAGGGAAATCCTTTCAGGCTGTGGTCTTTTTAGCATTACTGTACAAGGTTGATATCATTGAAAATGCAGGATGTTACAGTGCACTCAAAAGTTTTGCAGTTGGGGCCAGTTTTCTGGTTGTTTACCTTGTCTTTTTCCATTTAGTGTTTTATTGTGGTTGAGACCTGTGAGCAGGCTCTTAGATTGGCTTGTGAAATTTCCTGTGAGTGACTGTTAGATACAGGGCTGTTCCAAAACCCATTTCTGAATAGACTGGAGAATTTCATGCTGGATATATTGAGGGGAGTATGAAATATAATTCAAGGTTCTGGAAGCTGAGCCCCTCTCAGGGTGGAGAAATAGAAAGTGAATTTTTGAAGGCTAAAAGTAAGTTGTCACCTTTGCTCTCTGGTATTTGCACATTCCTGAAAACGTAGCTTTTGTTCATAATGTCTTTCCATGTTCTTCAGTTTAAGAGAAAATAAATAACAAAGCTGAGCTACTTTCTCCATAATAATAAAGAGCATTGTCATTTGCTCTCCTTAGGCAATAATGGGCAGAGCACTGGTGAATTGCAATGTATGGCAGAAAACATTGTATCATCCTCCCTATTTCCATGTAATCCTCAAAGGTTACATTCAACTTCAGGGTGAAGTTTTCTACTTCAGAGGGAGCAACTGCCTTAACAGCAGCTAGTTGGTGTGACCTTTTCAGAGATGGCTTTTGAGATCCTTTCTTTCCCAGCAAACTTAATTCTTGAGGAGTGGCCAAAAGATGAAGCTTCTCCACACCTTCTCCATAGGTTTGTGTTTTAAAGGCTTCTCCCTGCTTTTCATTCACCCTCTTCTACGGATTTCTATTTCTTAGCCTTTTTCTGTAGTGGTGTTGTAGTAATGGCTGTAAAGCAAGCCTAAAATACTGTGTTAAATGTGTAGTAAGTGTAGAACCTCAATGTTCCCTGGTACATTTGAATATGATTGACAGCCTTGGTAAAAATAGTGTTGAACAGTGACATTTATAGAAATGTCCTGAAAAGAATTTGGTTTTCAGCTTTCTTTTTAACTCCATTCAGCTTTTAGCCCTTGGCTTCATATCTTCCTCTAATGAAACATTACTGCTTTGTTTTACCTGGCTTTGGAAACAAGTGAGAAGGGATGTCTGCTCAGTACAAGCAAGGAAAGCTATTGATGCAATTAGGCAGTGGAACTGCAGCCTGATTATTTTCCTATGTGGGAACCTTGTTTTTTAGTTGAGATTCAGTGCTGGTTCCAATATTGTGAGCACAAGCTGTAAGTGCAGCTGTTTGCCCAGGCCACTGCAATCAGTGGAGTTGTCTGGCAACACAAGGTGCAGATGTAGTCAGGTTGCTGCTGCTCAGTGGAAGCAATTGCAAAATGCAAGCAACAGTTTCAAAGGTGATTTTGAGAGTTTAAACTTGATGGTCTTAGGTTACTAACATGCAATCTCTTGATTAAGATCAGGGAAGGAGCTATAAATGGATAGTGATGTGATTTTTCTCTGCATCTGCCCCTATATTTGTGGCAAAGAGTACCAGACATGATTGAAGGAAGAAAAAGGTGACCTCCTAACATTTAAGTGACATTTTTTTGAACAAACATTTATGTATAGATGTCTAATTATGCATGCAAGTTTGTGAGTCTGCTTACATAAAATTCCTATACGGCTTGGCATGGCAAAGAATTGCCCTGACTGGAGCCAGAAGCTGAGTGTGACAGGGGATTTGAGGTTTCACATGTTTCTTCTTTGATTTGCATTCCATCCTTCAGGCTTTGTTTGCGTGTGCATGTATGCATGTATTTTTGTGTTTTCAAAAAGGACGTGGATGTCAGCACAACACACAACTTGAGTATAGGGAAAGGATGGAGTCTCATAAAGATGTTTCCATCAGCACCACTCTGGTCACCTGTGGGTACTGTGGTGCAGAATAGCAGTGTGATCACAACGTCCATATTAGTGGAACTCATAGCAAAATCTTTATTTGGTGAAATGCAATGGGTATTAAAGTTCTGCTCTGAAGCTGAAGATTTCTAAAGCACGTGGTCCAAATCTTCCAAGTAAAATTTGAAAATGAAGGCTGTTGTATAAAGTCTTACGAGAATGAGGAATTATCTTCAGAAGTGCAATGTTTTGGAAAAGACCTGTAATTTTGAAACCTGTTGCTTTGTGTCTTTTAGAATTTCCTTGCTACCACAAGTGGTATTTGTTTTGTGGGTAAGTTACTTGGAAATCTGGAAGTCAACAAACTCAAATGAGTTTTGAAAGATCAGTGGTATTTTGAAGGCACAGAGGAGTAAAAGCATGGCTGATATGTTTATTATTATCAGTGTAACCCCATTCATGTTCTCCTGGGTTATGTCAGTGGCAAGAAAATATTAGTTAAAATTTCAGCACAAAAGAAAATAAATTTGGGATTATGACTGGTTTTCTTTTTTTTTAAATTTAGGTGTTTTCAAGGCTTAAGGGACCAAATGTAGATTGTATATCTGTTATTAATCCAGCTTTTTGTTGGTTTTGTTTTGATGTCTATTTGGTTTGTAATAAAGTTGGACATTTGGTAGGGGAAGCTCAAATAACTTTAGACTACAAATTTTTGTTGCTTCTTAATTATGACAATTTACATTAAGCTTCTGGATAGACCTACTACCCTTACTAAGCTACAGTCTTCTTCACACCCTACCAGTGGAAAATGTAGCAGCTTACAAGCAGTTTGCACAATAGTGCATTTGCTCTTTTACAGTGCCTGCAACTCCTATACCTCTGCTCATAAACTTCCCTTTAAACAATTCTAAAGAGCTAGGGTTTTTTTGCCATTTGTAGTCTATTTTCTACAGGTTTTATGGCTGCCTGGTGAATACACAAGACTTCTGTTGCCTCTTGTTGTCTTCCTGCAGTTTTTTCATAGCCAGAACTGCTGCTGCTGTTGCTACAGAGTTAACAGCTTCATCTGTAGACCATGGAGATGTGGTATCATTAATTGTCAGAGAGAGATTGATATTATTTCCAGTCCAGCCTGGTTATGTCAGAAGTGCTGAGTGTGAGTGCTGCTGGGCTGGTCATTCCCCACAGGAACAAGAGGGATGCTCCTTGCAATGACTGCCACTGGGAACTGCACTGCAGGGAATGTGCTTGCACTGCATGAGTATGGAGGGGAAATGAAGGACCAAATGTGGCTTTTCATTCTGATTTATTTAGCTGTTGTTACATACAGGGACTGTCTTATTGTCTCTCTCTCTCAAGTGATAATTGTCTCCAAGTACTAAGCTGCCATTAAGGTGCAGAAAGTGGGGGGTTTCTACAGTTCCTGCTGTATCCTGATGATCAGTAAAAAGCAATGTGCTGTTGTTTAGTCCAAGGATGAACAGACAATGGCTGACACTGATACCATTTTAGCAGCCACTGTGGTTTACTTGCATGCCTGAAAAGAGCTTTGTAGACATAACCTCGTGGATACCCTCCTTCCCACTGCCATTTCTCAGGTTGGTGGGTTGTACAGATGACAGTACTTACCAAGAGTCTACTGTAAGTATTCCCCTGAAATTCTATGACCTGTTACTCTAGAAGTGTCTTCATAGTATCACATTAACAGTGCACTCTGTTCACAAAAGATGAAGTCTTCAGGTGTGTGCACTGTATAGGCCAGAAATGTGTATCATGAATCATCATTATGATAAGAATTACATCAGTTTTGTTTCTCAACCAATAGTACATGACTTATTTTTCTGAGAATTTCAGCCTTTGTCAAATTTGGAAATCTAGTAAACCTATATAATTAGAATATGCTTAAATTTTACAGAGGAGAGATTTTAGGAATAACATCTTGCCTTGTTTCCTGATTGTCATCAGATACTCTAGTTTTTACGCCACTTCCAATATTGAATGGCACAGCTACTAAGCAGTGTCCTGGACTAATGAATGCCTGTTGCAGTAACTACTGATCTCATTCAGCTTTGATAAGTGGCAAATTTGCATCTTTTCCAAGTCATGGCAAAAAGTGTAAAATTTGATTTAAAGCTGTACATTTGCCTTGTTCATCCTGATCTTTGGAACTGAGTGCTGGTATTTTTTCAAGTAGGATTGTTATTGTAGGATTATTATATTGTATAAAATTTATATATTAAAAATAATATTTTAAAAATCAATCCTCCTTAAAAGCCATGTTTTTATAATTTAGTAAGTGTTGTTTCTAGGTATAACTCTAGAAGGAGGGATTCTTCTTATTGACTTAATACTTAGGAGTTTGGGTTTGCTGACACTCAAAACTTCACATGTGGTTCAAGTGATTACTTGAAATACCTGAGCCTTTCAACTCTGAGCATTGGATCAGAAACCTCCTCATGTGCTGACACTCCGCCTCTGGAAGTGAATGTGATTGTTTAAAAACAATTACAGGACAAAGCTGTCCCAAAGTCTGCAATAAAGATCTTCTGCACTGGACTATCAGCCTCTGTGTGGGATTTCCTAAACATATGCGTGGTGTTGTCATTGGTAGAGTGTAAAGCAAAGAGAAAATGCAAAGTGAGTAGCCAGCAAAGGAAATCTGAAATAAATAATAGTAATAAAAGCAGAAAGCAACACAGCAGGAGACCCTATTTAGGCTTTCTAAGCAGAGGGAAGGGCATGAGCGATATCTGAGTGCATAAGCGAATAACAGCCTTGGCAGGTGGGAAGGGAAGTAGCAAAGCATGAATGAGCATTTAGTTGGAGATGATGCTTTGCAAGCATCAGCATGTTTGAACTTTGGAAGTGAGAAGGATGTGAGAGGCAAGCAAGCAGAGAATGGATTTGAGGAAAAAATGTGGTAGGCTGCCCAAAAAATAGGGAAAAGAAGCAGATGATCTGCAAGTTAGACATCTGGGTGATTCTTCAATGTGAATAATTATTTTCTTCTTTAGATTTTCGTTTTTTCTTCTCTTATTGGAGAAGTGAAATGAGGGATTGTCTGCATCAGCTGGAATCTGGAATGAAAAACATTCCATAAAAAGAACAATGTCCTCCTTAAGTAAATCAGTAATCTGCACAGATTTTAGATTTAGAGGCTCACTAATAATAACGTTCAGCTGCATTTTCATCATCATGGGTACCCATGTGGTTTTTTGGAGTGCAGCAATGAGATTTACAGTATAGCATTTATTGCTCTTCACACCCTTGCTTCCCTCCATCTTGTGTGGTATGAGGATATCAGCAATGCAGGTGAGATATGCCTGGTCAGGAATGGTGAGGAGGACAGCTGGAATTGTACATGTGGCAGATGCAGACATTTCAAAGTCCATTTTTTACTAAAGAGAGTCTTGCTACTCTTTTGTTGGGAATTAATTTTTTTGAAGTAGGTCTTTCAAGTAACTATCTCATGGTATTCCTATTCTGTAAGCGTTCTTCAAACTCAGTAACATTTTGCTAGGTATAAAGGATTACCTGTATTTTCCTTCACCCCTTTCTTTGAATTTCAACTTTCTTTCAGAAAGTTACAAATATTAGAAGAATTGTCCAAAACCAATTAACCTATGGAAAATACCTGAATTCAAAAGGATGGGGTTTTTTCTTGACTTCTCTTTGAAAAATACAATTTTCAATAAAATGTTAACTTTCTGCTACCAAAATACTTTCAAACCTGAAAAAATTACAGTAAGGATTTCTGTTAAAAGAATTTTCAAACTTCATTTAGCAAAACTTTTCTTCTTAAAATACATTTTTTTTTCCTCCAAATTCTTTTTGAACCTCTAATAGAACTAAACTAGATTATGAACTTAATTTTCAGGAAGTTCATTAGAAGTTCAGTGAGGTAATTTTTGTTTAATTTGTATTAAAAGTCTTGACTGTTGTTGTTTTCAACATCCCTCCGACTTTCCCATTTGGTGTGTAGGTTCAGACAAGAACCTGTTTTGTTTTGGAACCTTTTCCAGCTGTGCTTCTATAACATTGCAGGAGCCCAGTCTTGCTCTCTGCATTATTTAGGCCACAAAACCCATTTGTTTTAGAGTGGAGCGGGAGAAAGACGTGTAGGAAAGAGCATTGCAGGTGAGAGGGGAGCACTGCATGCTCCAGGAGAGCCTTGAGCGGTGGAGCTGAAGGTGCCTGGGTTTGTGTTCCAGGTTTCTCCGTGCGAGAGGTGTCGCTGCGAGGCCAATGGCGAGGTGCTGTGCACGGTGTCAGCCTGTCCCCAGACCGAGTGCGTGGATCCCGTGTACGAGCCTGACCAGTGCTGCCCCATCTGCAAAAATGGTGAGTGCTGCCTGCAAAGCTGCTCTGCCAGAGACATCCATGGTGCCCTGTTCTGCCTTTGAAACATGAGTCAGATACTTGTCTTTTTCCTTGAATGGAGATGGAGGTGTGTGTGGATGGTGTAATCCTGTTGTGAAGAATCAGACCTCTCTTGATTGTGGTGGACTCAGTTATCACCTACATGGATGTTAATACCAGCTGTTGGTGTATCTCTTGGATATGTTATTTGCATGAACTCATTGTGGTTGTGCATTATCTAGGTAACAAAATGGTTCTCAGACTCTTCATATTATCCACCTTTCAACATGAGCAGGAAAAGCTGCTTTTGTTCTCCATTCATATTTGTTTCCCTTTCAGATATTCTTCTCCTTTCTTTCATTCTTTTTTTTTTCTTTCCTTAAGGCAAATCAAACCTTATTGAGTTCACCTAATTTTCATAACTAAATGAATTAAACTCCCAAGTTTAATTGAATATTTTTTTGTAACTAAATTAGACAGAAAGTCTCTCTACTCCCAGCAAGAGCTTGTATTAGATCAAAGTCTTAGTCTATTTAGACGAAAGAAATTACATGACATACTGGCTCATCACTTGTAAAGAAGGAATGATAATTTATTAATAGAAATGAAAGCTGCAAAATCTCAAATGAAATGATATTTAAAATTAAAAAGGACATTTAAAAATACTCAGATAATGTTCACACATCTATTATTTCTCTTGAATAGGTAGGTTTCATTACATTTGCTAAAACAAACTGCTTAAAATTGTGGGAAAGTTGGGGGAGGAGACAGCGTACAGCATATGGTTTCAACAAATTCAACAGTAGATGATAAGAGATTGTTAATTGCCTTGGAGGAGTTTCATTTGTATGGATATAAAAGTAATTGCTTCATATCCCTTAATTGGTTGTTACAACCCTGAAGGAATTTATTCTCGGCAGTACAGCTTAAGGGCACTCTTCTTTTTGGAGATGAGGACAGGCATTTTTCAAGGCATTTAGGGACGGTTCCTGAAAAAGTCTGAGTTTGGAAGCTGGTGATGTCATAGCTAGCTGGTCTGAAGGATCCTTTGGCACTTGTTTGATGGCAAGAATGTCGCTGATATTGTGCATGACATGCTCTGCTGCAGTTCCCCAGGTCAAAGTGACTTTAGCTGGCACAAGGTCTGTTTTCAGTATCAGGGATGGAGTTACAAGCAGAATACGTTTAGACTCTGTAGTCTTTCTCATTGAGCTTGTCCAGTGGTCTTAACAGTGTTTGGAGCTGGGCTGGCCTTCCATCAGCACACATTCTCCCACAAGCAGCAATGTAATGCACAGTAGTGGCAATCTCCCATTGATGGCTCTCTTTTGGATTAAGGTAGTGTAGCAGTGCAGGGTTTGGCTTGGCTGTTCACACAGGTTCCCTGACACTTTTCCCAGAAATGAGCAAAAGTTACTGAAAACTGTACATGAAAGATGCCTTTTGTTGTGAGGAAGCTGCCTTTTCAGAGCTGGTAAAGCTGTATTACCTGAGTTCTACCAGCAAGAAAAGGATGATCTTGTCCTCAGCCTCTGAATCCCCAATATTACATGAGTATTTCTCCCATATAACTGTGGGCTGGCATCTCTGACCCAGTTTCAGACCAAGGTGACCACAGCTGCCTGTTTCTAGTCAGCTGTACTGTCACTTCTCTGCATGTCAGAGAACCAGCAGTGGCTTTCCTTGTTAGCTTTCAGATGAAGAAGAAACCATTAGCAATAACAACAAGACCAAGATAGCTCAGAAGCAGCTCAGCTTTTCTGGATCAGCAGTTTCAGTATAATATCACAAAGAAACTTCTGAGGAAACCCCTCCATTTGGGGAGTGTATTTAAAAAAAGAATGCACTCAAGCTTAAAGTGTGGTACACATGCAGTTCTCTAGGAACTTCAGTGAATTGCTCAATGTTTTTAATTAGATTGGAGCAAAAACCTACTGAGCAGGAAAGCCTAGCCTGCCTCATCCTCTCATTTTCAAGCCTGGTGGAACAAATGTGGTGTGAATGTGAGTTGGAGAAACAATCATTGTGTTGTGCTTCAGGGTTGATTGTTACAGCGATGACATCAATGACATCGTGTTAGTGACACAAAAGAGCTCGGGGTAATGTACAGGGAGCTCAGCCTTTAACCTGAATGGTGGGAAATATGGAGCCATATAAAGCATCCAAGTGAGGTAACTGCCATCACGATGTGCAGTGAGCAAGAAGGGGTGGGAGGTGAAGTTTGGATTCTCTACTTTACTAGCACTGGTATATGCTTTACTAGCATATGGATCCTTCACATTTCCTAGCACTGATGTGTTGAAAATGCACACAGTCAAACTGATTTCCCTGACTTTCCTGCCACTTCTTAACATACAACACCTTCCCAGCTTGCCTGGTGGAAGATTGCTGGCAGTGACCCAACAGTGAGAGCTGAGTGACTGCCTCTGTCACTATTAAGAACATACACAAATGCCCAATTAAGAAGTATGGAGGAGATCCAGTGAAAGCCTGTGATTATTAAAAATTAATGAATTCAATATCTTGACAGGTGTGAGACCCTGTGCCTTTTCTCTTGTAGGAAGGCAGGTATGTAGTTGGCATCTCTATTTTCACAAATTTGCTGGCAGCCCTTACGAGGAGGAGTGGATGTGTAACTGCACATTGGGCTTACACAACTGCACATGTGGAGCTACAGACTTGCTTTGGGTGCAAGCAGTGGTGAATGGAAGACTTGTGGAATTAAAGAGTAGTTGTTTGTATAGTATTTAATAATATTCTATATCACATCCTGACTTTCAAAAAGAAACCTGGATACTTCCATAGCTGAAGATAGTATCTTCTTCTTCATAGGCAGGGACAGGGAGTGCTTTAAAAGAACATTTGCTCTGAAAAGTAGTATATAGAAGAGACAAATGATAACACCTCACTGAGATCTTTGGATTTTCCTGCTTTCTGTGTCTCAAGTCACTGCAACTGAGGGAGCTGTTTTGTGTTTATCTTATATAAATGCCCTGAAAGGAAACAGTGTGAGGACAGTGTGAGGGATGGAGGAGAGGCTTCCTTCTCATGTGGATTACATGTTAAGCTTTATGCTTTTGGTAACCATCAGCACCGGCCATAAGAAAAAAATCCAGAAAGTTAAATCTGACTTCAGAAAGTTACATTAAGTAACAGGTGCCCAGTTCAGACCTCCATCCTGCTATACAGTATTAGCATTGTGGTTACTTTTGTGGAAGACATCTCTGTTCACAGTGATATCAATAACCTTAGATTCAGGTACAGAAATTTCTACAGTTTGTGCAGAGTTAAGGGTAAAGATAAAGGGCATACAGTCACTCTTCCATTGGGAAAAGTCTGGGTGCTTGTCACTGATGCATTTGGGGTGGGGGGTGGGGGGGTAACACTGGTAGTGAATTATCTTTCTCTAGATTACCTTGGTTGTGTGTTCCACTTGCATTCCCAGCATTTGAGCCCTAGTAGGCATACACAGCTGAGTTCTGCTTGGCCTAAGCCTGCAGCCAAGGAGCAGCTGATGGAGTCAAGGGTGGCCCTGCTCCTGATGGTGTGCTTGCAGGAAGATGAGATTAAACCCATAACCCACGTGGAGCCTGAGGGGGAATTGTGGTTGCTAGACCAAAAAACATTTTGATCTAAGGTCCCCAAGAGATTTTTATTTCATTATATGGCTGAAAGATTGCCCCAGATAAAATGAAGTGGATCCTGTTGCCCTCCTAGCATTCATCTATCTGTGTGTCAGTGTTGTTTCTCTGTCTACAGCAGGGAGAGACGAGCTTCTCCTTTTGGCAAAGGCTCATAGCTGTACAGTCAAAAATGAAAACATTGATGCCTGGAGGGTCAAGTGTGTTCTCAGGGCTGTAACATTTGCAGGAGATGTCTATTCTTACTGGCTGTGCAATAGGGAGACTTCACTGATTGCAGTCCTTTCAGGTGCCTTAGGTCATTTCAGGACCTAATTTGATTTTTGTGTTCATAGTTATGGGTGAAATACATGCATCATTTGGTTGACATGATTGCTGCTAGTGAGGTGCAGGTGTAATGTGCTGTTGCTGGGGAGGGCATGTGGTGATGGTTTTGTATCCCTGTGCTGAGACTGACTCACTGAAACTTTAGTACCTTTCCATACAATTGCAGTGTTTAGGCCTAAGGTGACTTAAAAGTGCTTCTGAATGGCAGGTGGAGACTTCCATCTGAGAGAAGGAGCTCTTAAGACAGCAAAACCCTGGTAATGGCTGGCAGAGCTGTTGTCTCCTTTTGCTGCTGTTGGTAAAACAGGGCTTTGTCTCCCCTCAGGACTCAGGTCTGTTAAACAATGGTGCTGGTTGATGCAGTACTGATGTCATCCCTCTGAGACTGAGGTGGAGAAAGGCTGCATTGGCCTGAGAGACCTGTCTGGCCATAAGAAAGAGGAGGATGTTTATTCTGGGCCCATGAAGGGAAGTTGCACCTTGGCAGCTCTCACGTGAGCTGGCTGCTTGCTCTGCCCTGCAGCCCCAGCTTTGCTCAAGGACGGACCATGGTGAATCTGACCTGTAAAATTTAATGTCCTTCTGCAGTGTGTTTAAATAAAATATGATATGATCTTGACTATAAATGCCTTAATCTCAGCAATGAAGAAAGTATCATAATGCTGGTGTCCAAGTAGGGATCAAGGCAGGACTACTGCAAACATCAGGAATGTAACTGCTGTAAAATTTAAGTAATCCATGCTTTTGATTGTCCTCCCTTCCTTTTTCTATTGTCACTTTAAATACCTTTTTCAGTCATGCTTTGGCAGCTAATTTATATATAGCAAATGAGATCCAGAAGTTTTAACACCTGAGAGTGGATTCTTCAGTCTACATTATAAGAAGGGGATGAAATCAGGTGGTTATGGTGGCCTCTTCTAGATGTAAGATATAGGTACCATAAAGTGATTGTAAGTTCTAGTTGATAATATTGAAACAGTATTATTTTTTTTAATGGGATGTTTGTTAAAAAGT